CTTGGGTCTCCAAATCCCATTTCCGGGCCCCCAGGCGCCATTTCTTGGTCCCTAAGTGCCGTTTTAGGGTCTCTAAGCACCATTTTTAGGTCTCTAAGGGCCCCAAGTCCCATTTCTGGCTCTCTAAGCACCATTTCTAGGCCCCCGAGGGCCATTTCTGGGTCTCCAAGCACCATTTCTGGGCTACCAAGTGCCATTTTTGGGTCTCCAAGCACCATTTTTGGGTCCCCAAGTGCCGTTTTGGGGTCTCTAAGCACCGTTTTTAGGTCTCTAAGGGCCCCAAGTCCCATTTCTGGCTCTCTAAGCACCATTTCTGGGCGCCCGAGGGCCATTTCTGGGTCTCCAAGCACCATTTCTGGGCTACCAAGTGCCATTTTTGGGTCCCCAAGTGCCATTTTTGGGTCTCCAAGCACCATTTTTGGGTCCCTAAGGGCCCCCAAGTCCCATTTCTGGCTCCCTAAGCACCATTTCTAGGCCCCCAAGGGCCATTTCTGGGCTACCAAGTGCCATCTTTGGGCCTCTAAGCACCATTTTTGAGTCCCCAAGCACGATTTTTGGGTCTCTAAGGGCCCCCAAGTCCCATTTCTGGCTCTCTAAGCACCATTTCTAGGCACCCGAGGGCCATTTCTGGGTCTCCAAGCACCATTTCTGGGCTACCAAGTGCCATTTTTGGGTCTCCAAGCACCATTTTTGGGTCCCCAAGCACCATTTTTGGGTCTCTAAGGGCCCTCAAGTCCCATTTCTGGCTCCCTAAGCACCATTTCTAGGCACCCGAGGGCCATTTCTGGGCCTCTGAGCACCATTTCTGGGCCCCGAGTGCCATTTTTAGGTCTCCAAGCACCATTTCTGGGTCTCCAAGCACCATTTTTGGGTCCCCAAGTGCCGTTTTGGGGTCTCTAAGCACCGTTTTTAGGTCTCTAAGGGCCCCCAAGTCCCATTTCTGGCTCTCTAAGAACCATTTCTAGGCCCCCAAGGGCCATTTCTGGGCTACCAAGTGCCATTTTTGCGTCCCCAAGTGCCATTTTGGAGTCTCTAAGCACCATTTTTAGGTCTCTAAGTTCCCCCAAGTCCCATTTCTGGCACTCTAAGCACCATTTCTAGGCCCCCGAGGGTCATTTCTGGGTCTCCAAGCACCATTCCTGAAGCCCACCTTTCATCTCCAGCATGACAGACTCGGGCACATCCTCCCCCTCGGCCTCTTTACGCAGCTCCAGCCTCTTCTTCCAGTCATCCTCAGTGGGCACCACCACCACCACCTTACGGCAGAACCCCTTGAATGCCAACAGCTTGCGCCGCTGCCCCGAGTTGTACACGTTGCACTGCCCAAAACGAGGGGAAAAAGGAGGAAAAAAAGGTGAAAAGGGACATCAGGGGATGCCTGTGAGCCCCCCCTGGGGTTTCTGTGAGCCCCCCCTGGGTGTACCTGGTCGAGGATGAAGTTCCTCTTGGCTCTGGGAGCGATCTGAACCAGCTTGCTAAGGCACTGGGCAGCCTGCTGGATCAGCAGGTCCTTGCTCTTGGCGTCCAGCTCTTCCACTTCAGGACCCCTTGTCTGACCCAAAAAAGTGGGCATTTAGCAGGAAAACGGTGCTGTGACGGGCTGAGGGTCTTTGGGGGGGGGTTCAGGGTCATTTTAGGGGGGAGTTGTGGCTCTAGGGGTGCTAAGGCACCAAGCAGCCTGCTGGATCAGCAGCTCCTTGCTGTTTCTGCTCAGCTATCTGACCCCAGGGCCCCTCATCTGCTCCAAAAAGTGGGCATTTAGCAGGAAAAAGATGAGTTGGGGGTCTTTGGGGGTCATTTAGGGGGAGCTCAGGGTGTATTTGGGGGCTCTCCAGCTTTAGGGGTGCTAAGCACTGGGCAGCCTGCTGGACCAGCAGCTCCTTGCTCTTGGCGTCCAGCTCTTCCACTTCAGAACCCCTTGTCTGACCCAAAAAGTGGGCATTTAGCAGGAAAACGGTGCTGTGATGGGCTGAGGGTCTTTGGGGGTCTTTTGGGGGGGTTCAGGGTCATTTTAGGGGGGAGTTGTGGCTTTAGGGGTGCTAAGGCACCAAGCAGCCTGCAGGATCAGCAGCTCCTTGCTGTTTCTGCTCAGCTATCTGACCTCTGGACCTCTCACCTACCCCAAAAATTGGGGATTTAGCAGGAAAATGGAGGGGTGATGTGTTGGGGGTCGTTGGGGGGGTCTTCCACGAGGGGATTCAGGGTCATCTGGGGGAGGTTG